GAAAGATTAGTCATGAGTTCTTGGGTTGTTTTGTTAATTTTTTTAGAGTTACTATTGATATGGGCAGTTGTAAATTCAGTAGTTTGAGTATAATTGGTATTGGAGGTTGAGATGAATTTGGTATAATATTTGCCATAAAGGCAGGTAATTAAGGAAGTAGAAGTAGGTGCTTTAAAGAAATGTGTAATCTTGTTAGATCTAAGATTTTTTGTTAAGCAAGAGGTGGGTTGGACTTTGGAAGGGAATTTCAGATGTATTTTAAATCTACACTCAAATATATCATATTTAATTTTAAGACAAGAGTTTTTTACTAGTACAAATTTTAAGAATGAAACAATTCAGTTTATCTTGAAATGTGATGATCTGAATATAACAGAGAATAAATTAATAGAGTTTATAAAAAATAACTATAATATCAGATTGATTGCATCAGATTAAAAATGAAATAGTGATGAATTTTTTATAAGAAGAACATGAATTTGAAAATAAATATATATTAGAAGATATGTTATATAAAAAACTTAATTCTAATTATTTTTCAATATATGGAATAAATTAGATAAAATACTTAAATATAAATTATGTGTCAAAGATTTTGAAAACCTATATTATACCTGTTTTAAAAAATATGTTTGAATATTTATTTTGCATAGAACTAATATTTTCTTCATCAAGAATAGATCATGAATTAACTAGTAAAGATATATTTAATATTTGTAAAGAAAATAGCTTATTGTTAGTTATTGATAAAGAATGTAAAGCTGGGTATATGCTTGGTAGGTACAATAATAATTATTAGATCAATAGTATAATTCAAAAAAAAATAGTTTTTTTTAAAATAAGTACTTAAGAAACATGAATATATCAAGTTGCTAAATCTATACAAAGTAATACTAAATTTTATATTAATGATAAAAAACTAGTTTTTAAAAACAAAGATCTGCTTCTGGATGGTTATTCTTGGAGATATAATGTTAAATTATATAATTATAATTTTGCAACAGAAAAATAGAAAGTAGATGTAGTTGAAATATACCATATTCAAAAACAAGAATAATTTTTACTTTATAAACTTATTGTATTTTTTATTTTATTAATAAAACAATATTTTTATTTAAAAAATAGATTTAATACATATTTTGTGAATAATTAAAATATAAAACATTATAAAATTAATTTTGATATTGATTTTGCAAAAATTGTAGTTCTAGTTGTAGACTTTTTTCAAACATTACAAAATTCATATTTTAAATATTTAACATTTTATTTTGTAAATGTTTCTTTTTTATATCTAAGAAATCTGTTTATATTTTTCTTTTACTTTTTTATTGAGTTTTTTTTATAAGACATTAAAAATTATAAATAGTGTACATATATTTCATTTTTTCTCTTTATTTCTTATAAGTTGATTAACATTTATATGAAAAAATATAAAATAATTCAGTGATTTTTTCTTGTTAGAATTAAAAGAGTAATTAGTTATAAGTGGTTCTAATAGTTTAGATATTTTTATCATAGATAGGTAAGATTTGACAGTAAGTTTATTGTAATTGTTAGTAGTTGTCCAAAGTGTAGCAAAGAACTTACATTTCAGGTAATTAGCCAATTTTTGTCTGTCTGTCCACTCACGTGACCATACTATATCTTGTATCACATGCTAGAGGTCTAAGCCAAATTTTGTCCATCTGTCCACCCACATGACCATACTATATCATGTGTCACATGCTAGAGGTTTGAGCCAAATTTTGTCTGTCTGTTCACCCATGTGACCATGCTATATCATATGGCATATACTAGATCTCTGAGCCAAATTTTGTCTGTCTGTCCACCCATGTGACCACACTATATCACATGTTACATACTAGATCTCTGAGCTGAATTTTGTCCATCTGTCCATCCACGTAATCATGACTAATTACATGCTACATGCTGTTTGTTGTTACTGCAAGGAAGAACTTTTATATCTGTACTTTACTTTAATACAAGAAAAATGCTCTAAAGCGAACTAGTACAAGAAAGAATTACTCCTTTTATTATATTTTAACTAATTATTATGCTATTAGACTCTAATTATAAGATTATCATTAAAGTATAGATTTGATCATTAACATTATATCTGTATACTTTTCTTATGTAACTTAATAATAGTTTGATTTATATTTAAATAAAAATTTTATCATTTTTCATAACACTGTTAACCTGTATAATACTCATTACTTCCTTTTTTAATAGAGCCATACAAAGCTTATTAAATAATAAATCCTAATGTAACAAATTTTAAATGTGACTGGCTTTTAAAAAAAATTTTATATCAATATGTGAAAAATTTTTTTTATAACTACATCTGGATAGTATACTTGAAATTTGAAAATTTTGGGTTATGAATCCCAATTTATTAAGGTGTTATATACTAAATATATTTTTTTTTTACTGTTACAATAGTTTCGAATTCTCATATTCTATACAGTCACTCTAGATATAACGAATGAATAAACAGATGGACAGACAGACAAATGAACTCAAACTTTTATATTTTCTTATTGGTTACTTTTTAAATTTCATATTATGTAAACCCGATTAACAATTATTTTATTAGGAAAATAGTTGTTCCTCCTCAGCTTTTCTTTCTTACAGTCTCTTGGATTTTTTTATACATTGAAGTCTTTCGAAAGAAAATAGATAGAAAAGAAGATCTTTGAGTGTATGAACTCAGGACACTGCCACAAATGAGAGTCCAGCTGCATATTCTCTTTTCCCAAGATCTATTTTACTCTTTGCAAGCATTAATCCTTGGCTTTTATGTATCATAATTGCCTATGCAAGACAAATAAGGAGTTGTAAATGTGAGCATGTTACATTTTTTGATTCCCAGATTTGCTGAATCGGTATTATGAGAACTAATCTCTTGTCTTCTATAATTATAATAAGAGGACCACTATAATCTTCAAATTTAACAAGAAGTACACTTGAAAGACAAGAAGGAGCTTTATCTTTTTTGAACAAAATTTCTTGGATCACTTCCATCAAGCCATTAACTAACCTAGCTTCAGTCTATAAATTAGCCCTATACATAATACATGCATTTCGAGCCAACAACAGGTAAGGCTCAAGACCTTTTGCTGTATTAGAATCAGCTTTAGATGCTTCACAGCCACCCATTGCATGGTGAGCATTGATTTTGGCAACGAAACAGTTTAATGCTTTTAGTTTATTAAAATTAACCTTATCTATATCAGTTTTTCTAGGTAGAATATGTGTTGCATCTAAAAATTCACTATTATCTACTCTAGACAAATTAGTGAGCCATGTAGTAAGTGTCTTCTAGTCATCCATTGTGGACTCTCCATCACAAGACATAATAACATATTCCTAAAATGGCATTGGTCTTCTGAGTTTCCAAATTGACGTTAAACAACATCAAGCTTATAGACCTCTAAAAATTGTTTGTATACAATAATGCCATTATTTGATAGTGAATTATGTTGAAGGGTTGATATATATATAGGATCATTAAGAACTGGTAGAAGTTGTCCAAAATCACTGATTAGAATGACAGACTAATTACCAAAAGTTTGATCTTGTTGCTTAGAAAAAGCCTGTTTTAATCATATGTTGATTAAGGCAAGTGTTTTATGTCTGACCATGCTTTTTTCATCAATGATAAAATATTTTACATCTTGTAACTTATTTTGTAATTGTTTTAGACATTCACTATTTAGATCAAAATTAGTGCAATTTACTGGAATGAAGAGTGCTGAATAAATTGTCATTCTATGAATGTTGTATGCTGCAACTTCAGTTGGCACAAGCAGAAGTACAGATAATTTGTTCTTAACACCATGATTTTTTGCCAATACATTAAGCCGAGCTACAACTGCTTTGATTAAATAAGATTTTCTAGTTTCTGCAGTTCCTATAATGATAATTCTAAGAGGTTCGATGTTATTATGATCTACAGTTGCAGCAATATAATGTGCCTCGATTCATTTGAATATTTCTATCTGTTTTTTATTTTAAGTTCGAAAATCTAATATATCATTAGTTATATTCTCAAAATCCATAGTCTCTTCATTTCGAACTCGCTGCAAAGAAGTCAACACATCTTCGATATTGAGATTGGAATGACGTCTTCTGGTATCACCAACCCAATTGTGGTTCTTATTTATTACACATGATCCCAAATCTGAATAATTATCTATAATTGTATTTGGGTGCATTTCTGACAAAAACATCTATTCTGATCATATTTCATTCTCATATTTACTTTTTCCTACTGTTCATCTTCCTTGTCATTAAATTCATCTTCTATATTATATATAGGGGGGCCTAGCAAATCGATAAGATCATTATTAATTTCTGAAATATAATACTCAAAGAGATCAAACTAAGCAGTTGTGTTATATATAGTAAGCTGCTTAAAACTTTGGTGACAAACATGAAGAAGAACTTTTAGGCACAAAATTCTTCACATTGAGGACTATTGTGCTAAGATAAAGGTTATAGCCAAATGCATATGATGTTTTCACTTTTACATTTGCTCCATCTACTATTAAAAACTTATATTTTAAGTAGAGCCAATAAAGTGAAACATCTTCAAGTTTATTAGACCAATCCTAATACTTTTGTAAAGATGACTTCACTGTTTTTCCAATATTGTTATTTATTGAAAATTCATCCTTATTTCCAGCACTACAAAGCACTCGTGAAGCATTTTTATTGAAATTTAATGATACAAACTGATAACTAGAATAGTAGAGTGGAATGCCAAGTAGAAGGTGGCAAGTTTCTTGTGCAGAGATATCATGCTCTGCAACAGTATGAAGAAGTAATCTCTGAAATATAGCAAGTAATGAATCATTAGAGTTGCTGTTGCAGAGAATTTGATTTAATATCTTTGAAAAAGCTTCGGAATGCAGCTCAGATTTGCTTGCATATTTAGAGATGTACTGAAGAGCTGCATAGGTGCTAAGAACTGGTTTCAAATCAACATTAGCATGCCATCCCTGAAGCTAAAGTCGATTATGCAGATTGATATAAGGATCATTCCTTATTGTTATAAGCTCTGAATGACTATGAACATTATTACATATAAAGATATGTTCTACAATTTCTTTTGAATAGCCAAATTGACAATATTGCTCATCTGCATGATTAATATGAAGACAGTATGATGAACTACATCTTGTATGATGCTGCAATTTATTAATTAACTCTATATAATCTTGCAGGTCATCTTGTAGTTCATCATCATGCTTCTGACAAGGATGACTATCAGGTACAGATGCATCTATCCCTAGATTACTTGTAGTGACTAAAGAATTTAGATATTGGACCATTCTAACCATTATGTTATTGTTTTTTTTCATTTTATTCCACTCGAATGCTGGTGAATTCATCCATTTTCCATACTGTGTATATGAGCACTGCTATGGTGTTGCCACTCAAACCTATACTACCAATCTTCTAAATCCTACTTAGGAATTAATATGTCATCTAAAAAAGATTTGAAATGATTTTCAAAAAACCATGCAGCTATATGAGGATTATCAATAAGGTCTTGATGTCATTAAGATAGTGAACTTATTTGATTCTCACTATGTGGCATAAGCTCATACAACTATGGCCAGTGTAAGTCTGCTGCACTAAAAGTGAAGAATATCAGTCCTTGTGATCCCAATTGTTTAATCATGTCTGACAATTCAAGCCATCTTCTGTTCCAAAACTGCCGAGTTCCATATAAACTTTCTCCAAACCGTATAACTTGATCAGCCAGATGATTATTACTTTCAATTATTTCCTGAACCTCTTTAACTGTAAGTTTGTTTTCATTTAAACTTTGCTTAACATACACCCTTCCTTCTTGCAATGCCCTCTATCTCATTTGTGAATTTAACGCAAAATATCACCAACAAGTATGCTATGCAAATCTGCCATCTTTGTATTTAAGCATATGTTGGAAATATTCTGCAGGCTTTATATCTCTCAAATGTTCTGAACGAAGGTTAGCTTTTCTATATAGATACAAAGTCAGAAAAGCACGCATAATATATCTGGGAATATGAAATTTATTAATGGGATTACCATCAATATTTGGCCATGCTATCATATTACTGGTTTGCATTCTTGCAAGAGCATCATTAATTGTATCATTTTCATGATAAGATCAGGAAGAAACTGGAATGAAGTTGCATATAATTATATCATCAGTTTTATTTTCATCATCATTTAAGCTTTCATCTTTCATGTTTTGAACTTGTAGAAGGTAATTATCAATTGGACCATTTTCAGGTAATGACTGAAGTGCTTCATTATCAATTTCAATGTTAGCATAATACCAATTATTTGATTTTAGCCATATAAGCATCTTGGCAATTTTAACAAGGCGAACATTAAAATCTCTGAAGGCAGGTCCACTTGCAGACTGTCGATGCATAACAAGAACATCCAATGATAATAGTTGACGAGGAAGACATATTGAAAATCATGTACATCTTGAAAAAAGTTGATAACATTTCCTTTATATGCATACTGGCCTCCGCAAAGGCAATATTCTGAGATTACAAGAAATATTTGTGTAATCAACATTTCCTCAATCTCAATAAGATCTTGAAGTTCCTTAAGTATGTCTCTCAGGTTCATGTTATTTTCGGTTGAAAACTTTTTTGGAATATTCTTATCACTATAGCAATGATGGCATTCTCCAAGAACTAGCTTGATTGATGGAAAGCATTCATTGCAAGTAGAACAAAGTTTGTGCTCAAATTTATTAATCTTATTTCGAAATTTTTGCAACAATTTATGATCAAATTCATTTAAGGACTCAATTTTAGTGGTTACTGAAGGTGTACTATAGTTAATTGTAATTTTTTTAAATTTATACAGTAGTTAATTTTTTTTTTTGATTTTTATTAATTAACATATACAAACATTTGTTCATTATCTTGATTGTTTAAGTTTACATCAGCAATGTTTAAGGCTCTTCATTGCTTTTTTTGTCCTTTTTCTTTATCCAAACATTCTCTACGTTCTTTTGCACTTTCAGCACTCCTCTTTTTCATTTTATTATCACGATCATGAGCAAGATGATTTTGGTATTGATCAGAGGTTTCATTCTCTTTACTTTTGCATTTTCTAAGCACATCACATTCTAAAAGGTCTGCCATTGTTATTTTTTCTAAAAACGTATTTACTAATTATTACAATTAATGAGATTGTTTGTAGCCCCCTTTTTTTTTTTATGCGAAGTGTGTACTTTCTACTGGAATATGACTCAACATGATACCTATTCACCTAAATATTCTTTCACATGATACCATATAGTTAAGTACACTGGTATGATTTTTCATAAAGTATTTAGCTTAATTACAAGCTAATTATAATTTATCTCTTAAACACAACCTGTTATGCAATTTTACAAGGCACAAGTTTGCCATTGAGCATAAAATTGGAAGGATAAAATTTATTAATTCCAGACCTACAAACCAGAATTCTGATAAGAATTTTGTGATAATTCCACATATAAGCATTATTGCTTAAAAGTGGGCTATAACTTCATTAATAAGCTTTTGAGCAATCGTAGGCAAATTTATTAATGCTGGTCCAGTTGACAGCATTTTAATTGTTTAATTTAGCTGGTATGTGTAAAGAAAATTTGCTATTGATGTATTAAAATAAGCTATTCAAACTCATAAATATTTATTACTTTTAATTTTATTTAATTTAGCAGTAAATATAAAAAACTTTTATTTTAACTATCTAAGCTTGTAAATATTTACTACTTACTCTTGATTTTATTTATTCTCGTTAATTTTCATAGGCAGAAGTTTGTCTGATTGGTTAATAAATTCAATTTAATTTTATGGTTTAGAGCACTTTTTTAAAAAAAAACGAAAACTAATTATAGTAGAATAAAAATGCTGTATAGAAGGTTTCATTAGAGCTGTAGGACTCCATAGCCAAAAATAAGATTTAATCCTCATCCTGTTTAAAAAGTTAGTATAATAATAACTTCTCAAACCCAATAAAATAAACTTATTACTAAGCAACTTTTTTAGACGAGTGACAATTAGATCTTATTTTTGACTATGGAGTCCTACAACTCTAATGAACCTTCTATTTAGTTTTTTTTTACTTTATTATAGTTGGTTTCCATTTTTTTAAAAGTATTCAAAATTGTATAAATGATGTAAAAATAAATTGAATTTATTAGTCAATCAAACAAACTTCTGCATATGATGTTAATTTAGCTGATAAATCTAAGGAATTTATTAATAAATGCAATATATTTAGTATTCAATTGCTATCACTTTGAATTCTGTTTGGAATTTTGAGAGTTTGGTGAATTATATTAAAATTTAAAATAAAACTTTCAAATCCATATGTAATGCAATGAAAATCATTATGGTGCATTTGTAAACTACCTAAATTTGAAAAAATTGACTACTATGTAAATATAGATTTTGACTGAAAAAATCAACATTTCTCAAGTTATAATGCATCATTTAATAAATTTCTATGTCTATTAGTGGTAGAAGATGCGTTAGTATAGGATACCCTCATGTCAAGAAAATCCCAGGCTGAAGGTTGCTGAGTATTATTTCCGACCCTATCCAGATCCAATAAAATCATGCATATTGTGTAACAAACAAATGCAAAAAAACATAAGAAATTGTAAAAAACATAAATAACACCAAAATTTACTATGATGACTAACTTCTGACCTCTAAGTAAAGTTTTCAGAATGAAAATTTACTTATAGAACATGATTCTTAATATTAGATATATAGAAAAATTTTGATATATTATGACCTATATTTTTTTGGGTGACAGCTTGAAATTTTCTTGACAAGGAAATTCGTTAGTATGTGAGGAAGATGCATTAGATTATAAAAATTTTTTTGGGTTAATATAATATATAATTTGTTAAACAAAATTTAAAGTTAAGAACCAAATGATTAAATTTGATGACTGATTATTTGCTTAATTCTGTTAACATACTGTACTAATTTAGCAATACATATAAATTTTTATTCATTATAGTGTCTATAATCAGTCTAATTACAAATAAAATGCAGATAACATAGCAATAGTAATAAACATTAATAAAATTTTTGAATTTACATTTTATTATATATAATATTAAAGATTATAAAAAAATAATTTTTGTCTTTGACTTTTTTCTTAACATCAAACATTTTTAATTATATAAAAGTAAAATGTTTAATAAAAGCTATTTTTACATAATAATAATTCTCAAACTTTATAAATATTTTATATAAGTTATATAATAATAATATACTAATTGTAATTTGTTAACATACATGTTTATGAAATTATATAATTTAATTGACAATTAATATTAAATTTATTATTATATAATTTATATAAAACATTTATTAAATAAAATTTTAGCATTATTACTATGCAAAAATAGTTTTTTTTAAACATTTTACTTCTATAGAATTAAAAAATATTAGATGTTAAAGATAAAGTAAAGATTATTTTTTATAATTATTTAATTAACAAAATTGCTTATAAAATTTTAAGCTAAAAACTTTATTTTATAAAGCTATATTTATAAAATAAATCTTTTTTAAAATATTAAATATATTTATTTTAATATTTTATTATATAATTATAAATTATTTAATATGTTATAAAATAGTTTATAGGTATAATATAATAATTTAAATTTTTTGCTTCAGACTTATAACAGTTCCTGTTAACCTAGTAATATTCACAAATAATATTGTTATTACAATAGGTTTAGACAAAAAATACAAATGGAGCATTTAAATAGATATTTTATAAGACTAATAAATAATACAATTGACTAATAAAATATAACTTTATTTAAAATATATTAATAACATAAAATATACTCTAAAACTATTCTTTTTTGCTTTTTTTAAATACTTGTTTATTAATTGGTATATCTTTTTCATTAAATTTACACTTTTTTGATTAGTTTTAAAGAAAGAAAGATCAATTCTAATTGTTAATTTGGTAATAAATTTAGATGTTTCTTTATATTTCTTTAACTAGTCAGAATTAGAAACAGAATATTTTTTAAAAATTTCTAATATATAATTATCAATATGATTTCCTTTGTTGTAAAAATTTACATCACCTTTTACAAAATTATTTAAAAGTTTAAGCTGTTCATTGATCTTTTTAATAGTATTAGTGTATTTTAATTCTTCATCATTCTTGCTACTATAATCAAAGAATTCCATAAAGTTTAATTTTTGTATAAAATAAACTGCTAACATTTCTTGTTTGATATAAACCCAGTAGTATTTTTTTTCTTTGTATCTTTCCAAAACTGGTTCAGATGCAATCAGTTTCAAAGTATCATAAAATATACTCAATGCTATAGAAAGTACTTTAAATAACATATCAGTAGCATCAGAATCTTTTTTATCTGTTCTACTAAAGTAACAACTACAATATTACATATAAATTTTTTATTATCTGTTTCATCAATATTATGTATTTCAACAAAAAAAACATTCTACAGTATTTCTTATCTTATTGAACAACAAGATAAACATGAACAACATTTCTATTATCAATATGGTTATTACATTTTTTTGAAAGTAATTGATCATTGCCTTGATTTATTTTTATAGTTTTATTTTTTTCTTGTGATTTACAAACTTTAATACATTTATATAGACTATTTTTTCCTTTAGTAAATAAAAATGCTTTTTTATCAGTTCTTGTATTGATATAATATTTATATTTTTGATATAAGTTCCTATTACTATAATTTGTATAGTTTTTTTTTTTTTTGGTATTAAGGTGACCTCTTTGGTCTTTTAACTTTTATTAATACTTATCAGTATTGTGGTTCAATAAACCACTACAGGAGAGCATACAATTGGCTACACATGTAAGTTTTCTATATTACCTATTTAAGGAGTCTGTCTAAAGTTTTTCTACCAATTGCTGTACCTAAGACTCCTGCTTGGATGTTCCACTTTAAACTCTCTAAACCTATAACTTGTGTTAACATCACTGGTCATCTCAGATGTATCA